GGAGGGAGGAAGGGAGAGGGAGGGTCGGATTCTGATTCAGATTCTGATTCAGGCTCATCGTCATCCGAGCGATCAGGCAGTAGTGATGAAAGCGGAGAGAGTGAGGAAGAGGTGGAAAGAGGTAAGTTGGTGGTGAAAGAGAAAAATGCTGAATGCTGCAAGAACAAAAACAACAAGTTAAACTATTTTCCCTTTTTTGTTAGCAGGCATGAAGCTGCTTGACGTGGATGAAGAGAACAGTTTACTCTCTATGACTCCATCCCAGGATGGCATTCCTCCTCCTGATCCTCTCAGAGTTGATTGGCCCAAAGTAATTCATGTGATTCACATTTCAAAGCATTTCTCTAGAAAAAATAAATCACTTATTTGTTTCCTTGTTGTTAATGACTGATACATGGGGCTTCCTTTTTGTCTCAGGACCGCGTGTTGATCAACCGTCTAGACAGTTTGTGTACGCTGGTGAGTACCGGTCAGTGGCCCTCAGGGCGGCGCTACGTGCCTGAGGCTCAGCTCAACCCGAGCTCAGAGCTGGTGGGAGACGAAATGGCCTACACAAGGCTGATCCGTAAACCCGGTGGCATGCCTGGTGGCCCTGGGGCAGATGGAGACGATGGAGAGTTCACGGTCAAGCTCCTAAAGGTGAGAATATAGTGGAGTGAATTAATATTTGAGGCATTGGTGGGAAATTGAACATACACAAAAACTCACATTCTGTTGCTTTTTTTGCTAATAAAATTATTTCTAGTATTATATTGTTTATATATGTGGGTTTGGTGCAGCTGTGATTTGCACTTCACAGCTAAATTGCTCTTTTCTCTCTCACCCTGTCAGGAGGAGGGGCTGAAGCTGACCTTCTCTAAGCAGGCCCTGATGCCCAATGGGTCTGGGGGAGAGAGCAGCAGCCGCAAAAGGCGCAAGGACCAAGAGGTACATGAGTCAGGTTTACATGTTCGTCATTAGTACCAGTAGAGTTGGATATAAAAACAAAAGTGCTCTGGATTGAGTCTGAAAGCAGTCTGTTTTTTTGTCTGTCTTTTAGTTATCCGACCCAGATGGACTCAATGATCCACTGGAGCGTACTCCTCGGCGGAGGGACCCTCCCACATGGTTGAAGGAGAACCCTGATTATGAGGTGGAGGGAGACATGCTGGAGGTACATTCATGACACTTAAATAAATTGAGAGATAAATTGATGAATAGTTGGTCCTATTTTGTAACTGATATTTCCCTGCTTAACAAAATATCTAAACCGTTTCTGCCTTAGCATATAACTTGTTTTGTTTCCTCAGCTTCTTGTGAACAGGAGCAAGAGGAAGAGGAGGAGGAGGGCAGATAAAGCCCTGACAGGCAGTGAGAAGGTCAAAGTCATTAACATGAGGACGGGAAAGAAGGTGAGGCATACAGTAAATTGGTATCATGCACTTGGTTTGTTGGCTGTGAGTCATCTTACTCTAACAAACATCCAAATGTGTCTCCTCTGTAGGTTGGAGCTGCTTTCTGTCCGATGCTGCAGGACCTGAGGGAATATCTGGAGGAGAATCCTGATAATGCTGTAGCACCCGATTGGTCTGAAACTGTTCGCAACTCTGTACGTACATAGGATATGTATTATTTTAACACTTTGCTGTGCAGTGTTGTTTAGAAATGTGACTTTACTTTAGTTTTCTCTGATCCTCTATTTAGAGCACAAGAGAGAATACGTGCTGCTTGTGTTAGAATCTGCATGTAGCTGTCACTATCTGTTTAACCTTCGAAACACTTAAAGTTTAGTTCAAATGTTGTTCAGTGAAATTGTATGGTGGTTTGCTGGAAGAGAATTGATGGCATTTAGGTACAGAAAAATGTTTGGGGCTCCCTGTTTAGCTCACCCGGTGGAGCTGGCACCCCATGTACCAAGGCTGAGTCCTTGCTGCAGCACCTATGGGATCAACTCCAACCTGTAGCCCTTTGCTGTGTGTCATCCCCTCTCTGTCTCTCCTCCCCTTTCACATCACTCTTCAGCTGTCACTATCAATTAAAGGCAATAAAAGGCCCAAAAAAATATTTTAAAAAGAAAAAAGTTTTTCTCCCTGATTGATATATTTTTGGCTCTTTAAGACTGCAAATCTGGTGCTCGGTTAGCTCAGTGGGTAGAGCTGGCGACCCATGTACCAAGGCTGAGTCCTTGCTGCAGCGGCCCAGGTTTCGAATCCGACCTGCGGCCCTTTGCTGCGTGTCATCACCTCTCTCTGCCTCCTTTCCTGTCTGTCTTCAGCTGTCACCATCATAAAGGCAATAAAAGCCCAAAAAAATACTTTTGATGTCTTTTTAAAAAAAAAAAAAAAAAGACAGCAAAACTGTGGTTGACAGAAACTCTGTAAAAATACATCCCATCCTTTTTTTTCATAATAGACTTTCTAATAATATGTATTCTACCCACAGGGCTTCCTGCCTGAGTCCCACTTTCACCGACTGCTGACCGAGCACTCGGAGATCCCGAAGAAAAGCCGACGCCGCCATCACCACCACCACCACCATCACCACACTCCAGATCCCACCCCTGAGGACCCCAACCTTGATGGGGTAGAAGAGGAGACTCTGGTCTCAGACGGAGCCTACATGATGGACGAGGAGGACCTGGAGACCTCCCATCACTTCCTCACCAGTCCAGACTTTGATGTTAAAATGGAGGGCGGCGACAGCCTTTCCCAAGGTGACTATGACAGCTCGGATCAAGAGGCACTATTGGACGATGTCATCATAGCACAGAAGGACTCAGACTCCTCATCAAGCTCAGAGGATTGACTGAACTCCTCTCTCCAAACACATTTGACTTATTCCCCTTCTCAACAATGAATCATGTTATTCCTCATCATTTATTTTTACCATATTATGTATCAAATTATGGATGAATGTGTTTTTTTGTTGTTACTTTTATTCATTTATTTTATATAGGGATATTTTCCATGAAAGGAGCAGGTTTGCACCCATCTGTTTTCTTTTTCATCATCACAATTGTGTTCCATATTTGTCTCCTCGATCCTCCTCTCTAACCTCTGACAAAATGGCAAAAGCTGAGCTTTCTTACTTAACGACTCGTCATTCTCCTCCTTATCCTCCAAACCTATTCGTTCCCATCACATTCCCAGCCATGACCAAAAGGGGACCCCTGCTGTACAGATACCCTTTTCTTATCTAAGAACCTCAATGCTGGTCCTCTAGCGCTACATGAAACTGGACATGTGTACTGAGCAGAGCCTGGATCAAGATCCCCAAACCCCCCCAATCTTGTTTGGTCATATCTTGTATGTCCAGACGAGTCTGTGAACTAAAAGGGGATCCGGTGTGTGGATGTACTGTTATTGTTTTCACTCTATGGGAGGGGTGGGGGTTGAGAAGGGAGGGAGAGGGAAAGTGGCGTATTAGTTACTGAAGCAGTGCTAGGAGGATGGTTGTATTGTACAATGTAGAGCTGGTCAATTGTGTACTATGGTGCAAAGATGACGGCAATGAGTTACTATTCTTGTTTTATGATCTGAGTGTATCTGTGAAATGAATAACAGCAATCTACAATGAAAGCAAGTTTGTGTATTATTGTGACTAACATCGAGCAGAAGCAAGATTGTTTATGTTCATTTCTGTTTAATAATTGAGTCCTACTTACAGTCAATGCATAAGGGTTTAAATTAGTAATTAGTACATTACTGTCCACATTTACAACAGGCCTATGAAGTATGTAATATTACTAGATAGGAACAGTATTACATCAAATTATTTAGAAAGTTCAAGAATCTATTCTTTAATTTTAAAAATCAACTCTGTCGAAAATTATTTTAATAATATTTGCAGACTGAACACATTCTTGTGTCTAAATTTCAGTCTGTGCCTGTTAGACCAATTAGTATTTGTAATATATACAAATACATTCAGTCCAATCTGTGATCAGTATCAGCTGTCCAGTAAGTATCAGTAAGTTCTAATGTATGATGTGTGTCCTGATACAAGAAGGTAAAACAATATGAAGCACAGAAAATGGAGGAAGAACTGAGGTAGTTTGAAAATATTTGATCAGTCCTGCATACATGCATACCCATTACAGAGTCTGTCAGGTAAATTAAGCTGTGAGAGGAAGAAACACTGTCTCGTCTCAGTGGAAAGTGTCAAAGCCTTCATTAATAGTCATGCTGAAGCCATTAAAATCTAGACTTAAAACAATCAAGCACTTCTTAGTTTAAGTGGTACAAAGGGACTGTTTTGAACCACCAAGGACAACTTGGGTAACCCCCCCTCCCCTGCGTGAGGAGAGGTGAAGAGGTGAAGAGGTCTGGTTAGGGAGAAGCAGGTCTTATGCACTATAAAACAGCCACATGGTTTGATTTAACTTAAAGGTTGTTAAATGTTTACAAAAGGGATATATAAATAGAAAATCAATGTCTGATAATAATATATCATAGTTGTGTTAAATAAATGCCAGCAAGCATTGATTTGGTCATTTGAAGGTCACTACCATCCTAAATTTACACGTTAAGTTAAAGTTTATTAAATGTCTAGTTTACATATAAACCTGTTCCAACAGCTTTTAAATGACTGCTGGCTGCTTTCAGTCTTTGTAGAGTTAAACTCAAAAACAGTGCTTCCATTCAACTGTTTCAGCTAGAAGTGAGTTACAGTGTGGGACTCCCAGTTGTCCTTGAGGTTGAGGACAGTTGAATCGATTAGTTTATTTCTGTTAGCAGTGGAAAGCACTGCTGCCTTCAGGCCTCTTTGTTTGCTCGTCCAAGTAGATTGTCTGATGGCTGCCGCTTCACTTCATACTTCAAACGAGTGGAAACAAGTGCATCTGACATTTCACGTTAACTGGCTGTTTAAATTGGCCAAACAAAAGTGGTCGTAAATACAACTTATACTTAGTCTGGCTGAAGCTACCATGCTATTTGTTAAACGTCACGTTACAGCAAGTCACATAACTGGCAGATAGGTGCCGCTAAATGATTCGAGTAATGTTTCAATTTCCCGACAGCCCCTGAATCCAGCACTATCGGTAGCGTCCGGTTGGGACATGGTGGTAGCATCACACCAGCGTATGAATGGGCTTGTGTTGGGCCTCCAGTGAGCTTTGCGCCCCGGGGAGCGCACACATAATATTTTGGCAACATTGTGATTTTTTGGTTACTATCAACCTCAAATCTCTCCCCCTGCCCCACTTCTCCATAGGGCTTCAGAGCTAAGGTAGCTTAGCACCATACACTCGACTTTAACGTTATGCTAACCGTGATTAGCTAGCTAGCTAGCTAGCCGCTAGCAGCTTTTGTTAATGTTGGGATAGTTGATCTAAATGGGACGGAAAATAAGACATTCACACTTTCAACAAAGTTTACAGCGTGTGTGATAGTTTGTTTAGAGTAAAGAGTTTCAAAATGGATCTTAATTTTTACTCTGACCTGTCGGACGGTTGTGCTCAAAATGTTGATTCTGAGTTTTTGGACACCCAAGCTTATGGGGGATACTCAGAGGAAAATAAGGTAAGTTAACATGAATCCGTTTTTATCAGGAAAGATCAGCTTTAAATTCTGGAAGTTGCTGAGTTAGTTAAATGTTAACGGTCTGTTTCAGTTTCCAGAAGGCAGCGACAGCTATCTCACCATCAATGGGGCAGGCCACCCTTTCTTGTCCGCTGAGGTGAGTGAGTTCATTCAAACATGGTAGTGCACATTGTTTTGATCTTTACACGCGTTTCACTTCATGATGGACTGACCCATTATTCTGTCTCTTTCTCCACATACAGCAGACATTCCATACTCCCAGTCTCGGGGATGAGGTTTTTGAGATTCCCCCCATCTCCCTTGATCCAGACCCGACTCTAAGCATCAGTGATGCAGTGTCCCACTTTGAGTTGACTGATGGGTCAGACGGCACCGGGGGACCTTCGGCCTCCCGTAGCCTAGTCAGCAACCTGGTGGTTGAGGCCAATGACCCTTCCTTCGCCTCCACCTTTGTGAACTCTGGGTCTCAAGGCCTGGAGCAGCTGAACTTGGGCGGAATGGGCCAGACTGGAGGGGGAGCCCTGCTGAGCTCCTCTGCACTGGTGAGCACTCTACCTGTGGACCCTCACACAGAGTGATGTTTGGTGTGTTTAAATGTTGGTTGTTCAGGAGTGCAGTTTAGAGTTGTTCGCAAACTTCTTGTGTTTTAATCCCTCTGCAGGAACTGGGGAACTCCAGTGGTTCCCATTTCAGCAGTTCGTCCCCAATGACCATTGATGTCCAGCTTGGAGACATCGGTCATGGTCTTTTGGGAAGCAGTCACCTGTCCACTATAAACCAGACTGAGCTGGCGATGGGTCTTGGGGGTGAAAACATTAGGCATCATTCAGAGACACCTGAGCAGCCACTGTCTGCAACGCCATCACCAGCTGGCTCCCTCCAGGATGAAGACATGGATGACTTCAAGGTGAGGGGTTACATCAGTGTTGCATTCTTGTATGAATGTATTTTGAATTCCATGCTGTGTTTTAGATCCTGAAGCTAATATGTCTTCTATCCTTTTTCCCTTTCTTCTTCCTTTCCCTCTCCCTATTCAGAGGAGTGTGCTGGTCGACTCCCCGATGTCTCTCTCCTCTTCCTCTGCCCTCTCCCACATGTCCTCCCACCCACTCCATACGTCTTCTGTGTCTCCGGCTACGGCCAGGAGGGGCGGGGGTAAGCCGGCGGCACTGGCCTCAGTGACTGGGGCGGTGGGCGCTAAGAAAGGAAGGAAGAAGAAAGACCCGAACGAACCACAGAAGCCCGTTTCAGCGTACGCCCTGTTCTTCAGAGACACCCAGGCAGCCATTAAGGGCCAGAACCCCAACGCCTCTTTTGGGGAGGTGTCAAAGATAGTGGCCTCTATGTGGGACAGCCTGGCTGAGGAACAGAAACAGGTAGAAAAACACGCTTATATGCAGTATATGAATATCCGGTGTCAGTTTCAAGGGAGAACAATTATTGGTGATAACGTACAGACAAATGATTTACAATAGTGGTACTTGTTTTGTCTCCATTAGGTGTATAAGAGAAAGACAGAAGCAGCCAAAAGGGAGTATTTGAAAGCACTGGCAGCTTATAGAGCCAACCAGCTCTCACAGGTGAGATCATGTCATCCCCTAAAGGAAAACCAGTTACATATACAACCATAGCTGTATGGGATTTTCATTTATTTATTCATATCATTTTTTTAATCTGTCTTCACTGCAGCCTGTCACTGAGGAGATGGAGACCGCGCCTTCACCACCTCCACCGGTGGTCAAAACGGCACCTGCAGCCCTCCTCTCTGCTGGTCAACAGGCCATCCGCCCAGCTAACAACAGCCTGGAAGAGAACACCATCACCAACATTTGTGCCTCCAACATCATCCTGGACGTCCCGGAGATGACCACACGATCCCGCACGGGGGCAAACAAAGCTACTTCTCCAGCAGCTGCAGTACCCCCGGCCCAGACCATCACCAAGATCATAATCCCAAAGCACATGTTGCAGGCGGGGGGCCAGGTGGTGACTGTGTTGCCTGGAGGGGTCCGCACTTTGCAGCCTACGCTGGTAGTGTCGGGCGCCTCTCGTCAGCCACCTCCGCTGCAGCAGATGCAGAATGCACCACCTCCACCACGGCTACAGCAAATGGCGCCAGCACCTCCACCCTTACAGGCCAAGCCCCGCGAGGGGACCACCATGCCAGGTTTCCCTGTGTCCGTCATGGCTACACCGCCTCCTCCACTCCAGATAAAAATAGTCCCTGCCCCCTTGCAGGGCAAAGACACCCTGCCAATTATTGTCCCCAATACAGTGGCTGTGTCATCTACTGCGCCCACATCTGCCCAGTCTGCATCCCTGGTGTCAGTGCAGGTGGTGAACTCTGACACACCGGGCAATACAGACGAGGATGAAGTTACAGAAGTGCTGCCTTCAGAAGAGGTATCATTATTTATTGCTATTGTTGGTTGTGGTTTAGTTGAACCTGGAGCCTCAGCTTGATGTGGTTGTTGATGATTTGATCTCATTTAGGATATTTCAGTTCTTGAAGTGGGTCGAAGTTTTAACATAGATTGCTGGATCTTTGACATTTTCTGTTTGACAAGCAATACTGCTACAGTAGTGCCTGTAAATCTTGGGCTTTTTCTGTTTGTTTGTTTGTTTTACAGCATTGAATCAGACTGGATGTAATTAAGATTTACTTAATTGTGTGACTTACAAAAACCACAAATTGGTCTAAATTAATTACAAATAGAACTCAAATTATTACAAGTGTTCACAATGAGTACTTATACTGTAACACATCTAAATCAAAACTGGTACAGCCCAATGTATTTTTTCAGAAGCTGAATAGAAATCACCTGTGATTTCAGGTGTAGACACCTGAAACTGAAAGGTTCAAATCAGTTTCAACACCATGAAGACAAAGAAACAATCCTAACAAATCGGTCATTATATGGTCATGGCATTCATTAGAATATGCAAAGACTATGGCACAGCTGTAAATCAGACTGTGTGAAGAGTTCACCGCCAGGAGGCTCACGGCAGCTCGTGTGTGTGTGTGTGTGTGTGTGTGTGTGTGTGTGTGTGTGTGTGTGTGTGTGTGTGTGTGTGTGTGTGTGTGTGTGTGTGTGTGTGTGTGTGTGTGTAGAGAAAGCCACCGCTGAAAAAACTCACATGACATCTGGGGTAGTAAAAATTGCTGTTCACTCCACAGCCCATGCAAAATGACGCAGCTTGGCCAGTTTCACACAGACTATGAATGGCACTTTCTAGATGGACACAGCCGCTACTAAACTGTGGATACATATGCAGTCAGTTATGTTTGTTTTGAAATTAAATCTTTTTCTCTTGGTTAGTGCAAAAAAATAAAATCTCATTTACATCCACTATGATATAAAGTATATATAAAATATATAGCCATAATTTATTCTTACTTACTTTTGCTTTCACTGTGCCATAAAACATTGTGGAGAAAATGACACAGTGTAATATTATAAACTACTGTGACAAGCCTAGATAAGTGTACAGAAAACACCCGGCCTTCTTTTTTCCAGGATGAGATGGAGGTGAATGGGTCCAGTGATTCTACAACTATGAGGAGTGTGTGCGTGAGGGTGGGCTGCAACAACCCGGCCGTAGAGAGTGACGACTGGGACAGAGAATACTGCAGCAACGAATGTGTGGCCACTCACTGCAGGTGTGTAGAGGTTTGAAACATGCACTTGTTCACATTCTGTTTCCAGCAGACATTAGAAAACTCCTCTGAACTTAATATTTTCTGTGTTTCAGAGATATATTCAGGGCGTGGTGCTCAATCAAGAATCAGACGATGGCAACAGTGAAATAAATAGCAGCCGCTACCAATCGCATCAGCAGAACACTTTCACTAAGCTCGAGTGTTAATGGTTGAAGGACAGATGCAGAACTGGTGCAGTAGAAACGTCAAAAGTGGATTTCAGCGCAGTGTCGTAGTTCCCTCGTTTTGTACATGTACTGTAGATTTAACAGTTGCTGTTCAGGACAGACTATTCTCAAGTGTTACATTTGATTATGTATACAGCTTTTAGTCAGGCATCAAGGAACTTTAAGGCAGCTAGAGAAGAGATCAGCACAATTAAGTATTAAGTTGGTCAAGATAATGGTGTTCTTAGATTTTTTTTCTAAAGCCCACACAGGTCAGTTTATATTTGTTGTTGTTGGAAAAGTGTTCACAAAACGCTCTAACAAAAAGGATCAACATTTCAACCTTTTTACAGCAGTTTGAGACATAATTGTACAGTTCTCACTGTTTGATTCGTAATTCATGCTCTGAAGTGTTCTGGTGTTTGAGAGAAACAACTCCAGTGTTTCTGTATTTAGCTGAAAAGTGGAGTGGAGAAACACTTTGTATCAGTGTATACCTTGTTTTTGTACTGCGGCACTTCAGTGGCCTTCTAGGTTTAATATTGCCTTCATTTTTTTGTAAAACATTCTGTTGAGATCATTGTCAGCTGTTTAAAAGAAATGCTCAACTTTAATGTTTTCTTAATAAATGAGCATTTTGCTCAATCAAGGGGTTTTCCTCTTTTTCATCTCTTAAAGCAACACTGTGGAACTTCTGTAACAAAAGCCTGCATAGTTTGGTCTGCTAGGAACAGTAGCTCATGGTGGTTAATGTTAGCAACCTTTACATAGACATTGTTCTCAGTTTGAAGACTATTCTATGACTCTTCTCTACTTTGATACATTTTGGCATTTGCAGTATATCAGTTCTGTCATTTTCTATTAAAAAAACATCAGAAATCACTCCAGCCCACCCACATATATAATCACTCTGTATAAAACACTACAATATATTACAGTAAAATAAAGATTCACAATAAAAGGGAAAATAAATCAATTAATCACACATACTATACATACTTTAAAAACACCTTTCAATATAAAAATATATTCCTGAGGCAAATCTTTTTGGCTTTAATTTAGTCTTTACTCTTAGACCATTCCACTTTTAGTGCAAGCCAGTTTTAGTTCTCCTTCATTATGGCAGGATTTAAGACAGTGTGAATCTAGTATTGGCTGGATATTGTGATAATTTATATAGTTTGTGATCATTCATGAAGCTTTCACAATAGTGGCTCTGCTGGGTGGATCCACACGGTACAGCCCCAAACCCAGGCACAAGGGCTGAGTCAGTTCAGCCTTGAACTTGTGCAGTTGTGTGATTTTGGACTCCACTGCACTGAATGTGATTGTGCCTTTCTCAAAATCCACCATAACTGCTATTCGGCTGCTCTGCAACGTTTGAGAGATAACTGTTTTCTCTCTGTTATGATAAGCAAACAGCTTTCCTTGGCCATTGTGCATAATGCTCCAGGAGTGTGCGTTGTTTCCGAAGGCACTGTTGTACTTGCTCTTACGCTGGATACTCTTGAAGGACACGGCGATGTCCCAGTAGCCCTCAGCCTCCACCTCCCATACGTGGTTACCGGTGGAGAAGCACCAGGAAGAGAGGACCTGCGGGGCTTCATCAAAGCGGTTTTTGCTCTTGGGATAGGTTATCTTGGTTTTCACTCTGTCTGCTGTTTGGAGGTCAGTGGAGATTCCAAGGAAAGGGCTGGCTGTGTCCAGATCCAACATGAGCATTTCTGAGAAACAGACACACAGACCGTTTGGGTTTACATACACAATTTTGATGCTATTCCCAATTTATAATACATGCCCATTAATTCATTAAATTGAAGTGCTAATAAGCTAGACTTAGTTCTAGACTACTACTGACTTAGTCTTAGGGGTGGGCGATGTGGGCAAAAAATAATATCTTGTTATTTTTGGGGATTTTGGCGATAACGATAATCAGTCGATATCCTTTAAAATGTGATTGGAATTGTCTGAGTTAGGGCTTGTGTCCACCAAACGTGGACCAAACTCATTTTCCGAGCGCCCAGCGGTGTTAAAAGTTGAACAGATTTCAACTTGAAGCGCTCTGAGCGCTGCGCTAAAAGTCTTTTCGAAACTAAACCATTTCCATGCCAGAGAGGTAGACCCACGTCTCGGCACTAAATCATCTGAAGTATCGGTAGCTTCAGGGACTGGAGGTGCTTGCATTTTCTCTCTACCATCACAATGCGCTGCTAAACTGTTGCAAGGAGGACGGTAGCCAGAGGTCATGTGATCACGTAGGCCCACTAGTCGTGTGACTGAATCCTGCCATGCTGTAGAGAGCCTTGCTGCACTGTGTATTAAGTGGATGTGAGGAGTTTCTGCGTGCGTTTGAATATTTTTGGCGAAGTAATTTAAATACTCGATAATGGAAATTTGCACATCGTCTAAACAACAATGACAATATATATCGCCCACCTCTACTTAGTCTATTATAGTCATTAGCGTATGGCGGCTAATATTAGATAACTTAACATACATATTGTTATGTAGTTAGTCATATTCAGCCTGTTTGCTGACATTATGACCTGAGTCCTTCATGTCACATATCTTCTGTGAATTAGAGACACAACAAGCATAACTACAGCATAACAATCGGTGCGTTTAAATGCATACTAATGTCCCTGTTAAGATCGGGTGTTTGGAGTGTCCCCATTATATATCTGCATGTAAACACCACATTCTGGTTTCTAAAACCTGGACATGCCCATATGCCAGTTTTGAGAAACATGCAGGCTTAATCACTAACTGGGATTCTGTGGCCATGCAGACACTGATCCAGGTTTCTGAACCTTCTTTGCCATGCTCGCAGGTGCATCAATTAAGAAAAATAATATGATTAACAATGTAACAACGGTGTAGATAAAATGAAAGTCTAACAGTAGTAATGCAAATTATCCTTTTATTGTTGCTTTCATCTTCAGTGACTGAAGAAAAGTGTGTTCCAGGCAGCCAGAAACCAAAGTTCATCCAACTATTAAAGCCTTAGTTGATACAGAAACGATGCTGACGATCAGAAACCTGGATGACATCAGACACATTGTCAGCGTCACACTAACGGGGCACAGGTTATCTCCAACACAAATTTATAGTACAACCATCAGGCTAGTCAGCATCTACCAATACAAACACACAGTAGTTCTCTGTCATTGCCAACCCAGTGTTAGAACATTTCATTTTGTACCTTGATCTTCTGTCTCTGCAGGTTTATGGCTCTTCACTGGATGATCAACCAACAGTTCTGTGTAGGGATTACATACAAGTTATTAGCAAGAATGAGAAAGAATGAATTCTTAAGTAGGTTGCCATGTAACTGGAGCATCAGATCGGACAAAATCAATGAAAAAACCCAAACGTAATCAGTACTAAGAATGGAGATGGATAGTTCCTACTATATGTACGACCATCAGACTATTAAAGAAACTGACATTTGGAAAATATACTATTCTTTTTCTTGGCGAGAATTAGATGAGAATGACGACGCCACTCTCATGTAGCGTTCAATGCTGTAGCTAGTTAGCTTAGCTTAGCATTAAGACTGAAAGCAGGAGGAAACTGCTAGCCTGCCAGGAAATCACTGTACCTGACCAAGAAATAGTCCAACTCATAACCCCCTGTAAAACCACAATTTGTTGTTTTTACACAATGGTTTTTGTACGGATTGAAGATGTGTGAGATTAGTTAGTTTGGGGTTTTGGTGTTTCACTGCCTTTAGTATCTATCTTCTATTTTAAAGTACAAACATGAGTGGTATCATATCCCCAACAAACTAACCAATAGGCATATTTCCCAAAATGCCACTCTCAAACGTCACACTACATGGTTTAAAATTAAAGTTGAAATGTGCTGAACACAAAGACATTGAGCCAAAACATGGAATCTTGGGTTATTATCATTAAATCACATGTTGCTGAGTTCCCGGTTTTTGGTGTAGTTGTGTGAGCGGACAGTAGTGGATCTGAAACCTGCCCTCTTACCTGCAATGGTGGAATAAATGTGATGTACGCGGTTCTGCTGCTTGTCCAGCGCCACTGTTAGTGTCTGGTTTTCTACAGAGTAGCTGTAGGCTGGTGGGAAAGATATACATCAGTGAGTGAATTTTCACACCCACACACACACACACACACACACACACACACACACACACACACACACACACACACACACACACACACACACACACACACACGGCACTAGGGCTTGGCATTCTCTTACCATAATACAGAACAATAAACCACAGACAGAGCAGCACCACTGTCACACTGTTGAGGGGGGAGTCGGCAGGGTTCACTTTCTGTTTCTGGCAGAAGGAAAATACATATTAGATCTGAAAAATAAACACAATTTAGACCCTTTACAATCACAGATACTGAGAATTTAGTAAACAGAGCATACTTCACGTAGGATGTCTTCTTGTAGTTTTTTTACAGACTGACTGGATTCTTTCATTTGTTCCTTGAGCATTTCAAAACGCTGGTCCATGTACTCCTGTTGAATGCACACACAGTTATCAATTACTCAACATCCACTTTTGTCCTTTTATTTTCCCTCAAGTAGCTTTAAGCGGGGGGGAAAAAGCATCTTATTCTACACTGTCTGACAGTATCATAAATACGCTGTATCAGCTTTTTCCAGCTCTTCGTTAAAGTTATATGATGTTTTCACTGAGTTAAACCGGAATTTTTATGTCACTTAATACACATTTCAAGAAGTTCAAACTCACATATTTGGCATCTTAGGAAAAAAAGTTTTCTGCAGTTTTAGTATTAATTTGTAATGACCATCCAAGGGGCTTAAGAGTTTAAGGAGTGAATGAATGGGGAGCTTTGAGATTCTCAGGGACCTGAAAATCCTGTTTCTACCCAGCACAGCCAGCAACAGGAAATTCCCACTCTGTTTACAAGAAACCGTTGCTATGACAATGTCTCTTTGCAAATCCAATGGGAAGTTTTCTCATTGATATTATAATTTCCCATGTAATACGGTATTAAAGAATGCTATTAAAAACTCACAGTCAGCTGTCTCCGCAGGACAGTGGAGGCCTCAGTGGCGAGGTTTTGTTGCTTGCTCTCCAGGGCGCACACATTGCAGATGTAGCGTCTGGATGTGTTGCAGTAGTACCTCAGCACCTCGTCCTCGTGCTGCGGACATTTCCTCTCCTGGAGGTCATTCAGAGGCTTGACCAAGGGGTGTCCCGTGAACACCGGCAGCTCATGGTGGTCCTTGACGTGCTCTTTGCACAGCGACACCTCACACTTCAGACACGTTTTAATGGCCAGAGTTTGTTTCGCCAGGCAGCAGTCGCAGTACACACTTTTTGTCTGCTCGTCCTGTTTACAAAAATTGGATTTTGAGATGTGGAAAAAGGTGTGTTAGATATTCACCTAGTTTTAGGATCAGTTTTACATTCCACAGCTATTAGTTTATTCTCTATATCTTTTAACTGGCATTAATAAAGAGACTGAAAAAAAAGGAGCTAATAGGTACCCTCCTCCTCCTGTTCTCTCTGAAGTCCTCTGCAATGCTGGCTAGTGTGTAGCTCTTCTGTACCCCAATGTATGGTCCAAAATATTCCCTACAGTCTGGGCAACGGAAGGGAATGTCTGAGGAATGATCTATCATGTTCTCCAG